GTTTGCAGAAGCAGGCCCTTAATATCCATTTTACATTTTTACTGATTCGTGCATTCTGTAGTTATCAGCAATTTCAGCAAATTCTGCCTATCTGTGATTACAATACATTTAAAACCAATATAAACTGTTAAATGAACCCGACAGTGTGGTGTTCAGAAGCAATTCCATAAACTTAATTGTTTTAAAACTGAGTCTGTGTCAGCTTGCCAAGGTGGAAAGCGAACTTTGTTAGCTCTGTAAGGATATGTCTACACTTCCACCCTCGTTCGAACTAGGGTGGCTAATGTAGGCATTCGAACTTGCAATGAGGAGTAACGGTAGTTCGAATTAGGAGCTTTAATTCGAACTACCTAGTCCGTGCCACGTGTAGCCGCAGGCAGGGAGTTTGAACTACGAGGCATTTAAAAATGGCGGTGCCCGGGAACATGCAAATAAAGCCTGGGATATTTAAATCCCGGGCTTCATTTGCAAGTTTGAATACCTACATTAGCCACCCTAGTTGGAACTAGGGTGGCAGTGTAGACATAAGAAACTTTGAATTTGTCTTCCTCAAGGCTTGTAGCTAATTTTTAGAAGGTGCCAGTGGAGAGATTTCTCTTTTAAATGTGACAGAGTTTTCTTTCTGTTACAGTGAGGAAAAGCTTTTAAAAACATTTAGTTTTATATTATTTGATTCCCATTTATAGTGCTCCAGAGCTTCAGTTCTATACAAGTGCTGCTGCGGTTATTATGCTCATTCCAGCTTGGATATTTTTCATGGTAAGAATTTTCATTTGCTAACAAAGATTAATTTTGCTGTTTGATTTGTGCAAATGGCTAACTTTCAGTTTACCTTTCCCATTCCTTAAAATCATGTGGGCATGCATATCATCCCTGTTTACTTGTAGTGTTGAAGCAAGAGGTACAGAAAATATGTTTTAAGGCGTTTCATTAAGCCATGACAAATAAACCAGAAAGCTATAGTTTGTTTCAAGATTTTAGGGAGCAAGTAATTTAGTCTGAATAAATCCTTCCAAAGGGGCAAAGTGGATGAAGTAATACCCAAAGGGCAGGCATTTGAAGATTTTAAAAAAAAAATCCTAATGTTTGTAGGCTTTTTGGATAATAGCACTTCGTATTCATATGACACTTGTAACCTTAATTATAAAAGAAGAAACTGAGGCTCAGTGAATACAGTCTGTTCGAGACTGGTAGAACTGTGGGGTTCCTAACTCCCATGTCTGTGTTCTAGCCATTAAACTGCATTAACCAAATGCAGCAGAAAAAAGTTGACTTAATTTTAACAGTAAATGAAAGTGCAATATGCAGTGGCAAAGATGATGATAGAAAAGCAAAAATTATGATAAATAGACATGGTCTGTTACCGTATGTATGACAACAGAGTAGATAAATAGTTTCAGAGTAATTGCACTCATATTCCTCTCCATGGTCCCTTGAGGGCACTTACTTAAGGTGTGTGACTGACTCTCCAGTAATCACCTCTCTTGGGATAGAGATCTGTGTTTCTTTGTCTATTGACTGGTGTTTTAAGGCTGCACAGCTCCTTGCCTTGCATTGTAAGGGGCCAGCCAACCAGTCTGCCTACATGTGAGCACCTGTGCTTTGCTCCCTCCCTTAAGGTATTGCCAGCAGTTACAAATGACCTCACAACCCCTTCTAATCAAGCATATTTATTCTTAAAGCAAAAGCATGAGCGAAAGAACATGCAATACAATGGAAGTTCCAGAACACATGCTGAAAGCTTATTGGAGGGCACATATCAGTATTATGGGGCTCTAATAAGACAAAGCCCTTCCAATCTTTCCACATGAGATTACCCTCCCCCCCCCCCCCCCCCCCCCAGCAAAAGATGACATTTCCTGGCTCAGAAAGAAGGCCTTAAGCCATTTTAACTGCAATCTTTTAATGCCAAAACCTTTTCTTTATTGGCTTTTGGAGAATCTAGTTTGAACCATTATATGTGTGAATCCTGGAGGTGTTTAAATCTTAAATGACTCCTCTTAATCAAACCCTACTGGTTTTGGTTCCTGTCAGAGCTGTTATAATCCTCCCACATACTAGAGATAATAAACATATGTACAATCCCTGACCCCAATGATGTATAAACTGAATATGATAGTTCCATCAAAGATACTGTAGGCAGTTACAGTATCTGTCACAAAAGCAATTATTGTACAGTGCTAGCTAGATTAAAGATATCTTTTAAAATATCTCCATGAAGTGCTTGGGCACTTTAATGCAGAAGATGTATGTTTCTTTGTGCTCTTTAAAATCTGCTTGCATGATTTCCATTTAATTGGTGTTTGGGGAAGGGGAAAATACAAATTATTTTGTAAAGGTTATGGTGGTGAAGAACCTTCGTTTTTAATCTTAATAAAAACAGAGCATATACAAAAAGTGGAAGATAGTGACAATGAGAGAACCTATGCCTCTAATTAAGATTACTGTAAATTTCTGTGCTGGGTGACTACATCAGATTGGCAGGCTCTAGGCTCTTTACAGGAATAGAGAGCTCTTCTGCTGAGTCACCTGAGATTTTGGTGCTAAAACTCTTCATTCGTGTTATTACAATAGCTAGTCAATATCATTCGTGTTATTACAATAGCTAGTCATGAATTTACAATAGCTTCAACATGAATTTAGGATAGATACTGAGAGGGGATGAGTTTGGATACTTGACTTGGGATCTGTGTGCTCTGTTTAGGGTGGATTAGGAACTCTCATTGTGAATGGGCCAAGTCATCATTACACTCGAATTACATCACCTATTCAAAATTAAATCTGTTGTCATCACTTTGGGTGAGGATATCTGTCAGGATTGGTTGAGGGTTAATAGAGAAGCTTTTTGTTGCAACTGTTAATATCACACAGGAAAAGTTACAAATAATGAAAAGTTTACATAGATAAGAATTAGGCTCTTCTAGCTAGCTCCTGCAGAAAAGGTAAAACCCGAAGGGTATAATCATTCCAGCTCCTACTTCTGAAAATTAGATTAAATATTCCTGTCTTTATTTCCAGTATAAATGAGTGCTTCATTAAAGCCAACAGACGAAATTAATGTGCCTAGCCTACTTTTGCATGTAAAAGAAAACAGGACAAAATGAGACTCTTAAAATCCTGTTCCATTATTTGTCTTTAGGATGTGCCAGTGATTGGGAAAAGTGGAAAGCGTTTCAGTTACAATCAAGATATCATTGTATTGCTCCTAATAGATGGAGTCTTGTTCCATTTGCAGAGTGTTACAGCATATGCCTTGATGGGAAAGATCTCACCTGTAACTTTCAGGTAAAAGTATAAATGTTGTGTCAAAAGTATTGTTCTTTCTGTCCTTACACCATCTCATATTAGGAACTGATTGAAAATGCTGCTATATGGTGGAATAAATATAGTAAATTATATATGTACTCCAAATAAATTAGGATATTTTTCCAAATCCGAAAAGCAAGCATAAGGTCAAATCCTTGTAAGAGTAGTACCATTTGTTGCAAAAGGACTACTGCTCTTGTGTATAAGGAGAACAGCATTTAACCTCTTAGCATTATGCTTATGGGACAGGTATGCACAGTTATTAGCTTCCCTTCACATTAATAAGGAATCACATTTACAAATTGTGGAATGGAGTTTTAGATATGTGATTCTTAAATTTAAAATATTCGCTGCCAGTTTTCTGGTGTGAATGAGAAGGTTGGTGGATTAGCTGAGGGAGAATTAGTGACAGTCTATTGTATGCTTTAAAAAATACCACTTCTTCAATTTATTCCCAATAGCTCTCTGTTTAGGGATATTACACATATGTTATTGCTAATATTTAAATAATTCTATAGACTCTTGTTTATTAACCTAAGTAAGAAAAATAGAATCTGACCTTCTGCAAGATAAAGCATCAAAAGATCCAAGTGTGATGGAGCATCCTGAATATATTGTGTGTGGTGAATGTCAGAGCCTTTCATTCCTTAATATTTGTGTTTTATTGTTTCAGTGTTGCTAGTACTGTGAAGCATGCATTGTCCATCTGGCTAAGTATTATTGTGTTTGGTAACAAAATTACAAGCCTCTCAGCCATTGGGACAGTTCTAGTAACAATTGGTGTATTGCTATATAATAAGGCAAAGCAACATCAGCAAGAAACAATACAAAGCTTGGCAATAGCAGCCTCACAACCCTCACAGAGCACAACTGAAGATATTGCGCCACTAATATCCAAAGACTTAAAGCCATATGATTGATCCAGCTCTTAATTCTTCCACCACAACCTGAGATAGCTCAGAGAAACAATGGTTCATTTCTTTGAGTTCACAGTGGATAAAAAGATGGATTCTGTTGCAGAGAGAAAAGGAAAATACCTGGTTTACCAGAAAATGACATATAGAACAGAGACAAAAAGTAACCTAACATGGTATACATTGACTTCATCTTCCTTTGTTGACTCTGCAAATAAACCACAAGACTATATTGGAGATAAAACTTCAGTGTCACATGGAAAAATCACTTGTCCCTCAGCCCCACCACAGTAATGTGATAACATGACCAATCCGTGTTTTGTATGTGCTTGCAGTTGGATGATACTAATGCATAAAAAAAAATGTCTAGTTGCCACTGTTCTTAAACATCATAGACTACTTGTGCACATGATGAGGATCTGGAAAAAAGCACTTTGAAAGACAAAATCCATCATTTTTGTTTACACAGCTATTGGTGTAAACCATGAAAATGGGCAGCTACTCTTGAGTATAAGCCAGCAAAGAGACTTTGTGCTTTCCTTTGAAATTCTCTAATAATTTGAGCATTACAATTTGCCTGGGTACTTACCACATTCACCTGTCTGCAAAACTGAAACACACACACATGCTTATAAACTAGAGTCAATACAAATAAGTATAGTTGCTATCAGGCAAAAACCACTGGAAATTTTCAGAAAAAATGAGGCATCATCAGCGTTTCTGTAGTAAGTACTCTCTTAATTTTAGAAATATAAAAGTTTCCTTTGCATTGTAATTTACCATAAAATATTTTTGAGGCAAGAGGGAAAAAGTTTGATTTTTTTAAATTTGTAAATTAGTGTTAAAAAAAAAAGCAATAGACTTCTTGAAGCCCCAGCGGTAAAACTGTCACTAGCTGTTGTGCTCAAATATTTTATTATGTCCTCTTACAGTGATAAGAAGAAGAGAGAGTGGATAGAATTGAAAGGTAGAGTTTTAACCTTAAACTGAGAATATTCTGACAGATTTTTTTTAAATCAGTTTTTAAAAATTTGCATGATATTGTATTTAAAAACCCAGTGCTTTTAGAGGTTAAAAAAAGTAGAACGTGGCAGCCTCATTTTTATGATTTCACTTTCAATAAATGTTAAATCTTTCTTCTTTATGAAGAAGGCAAATATGTACATGAAAAAGCATGCTTGTAGTGCAACAATAGTTGTAAAAGCTCTACAGGAGATTTCTGGAAGAAAAATATTACAACAGAAAATATAATTTTAATAATAATCTTTAATTATTTCTCACCTGTGAGATTACAGGTTTGATAGCATAAGCATGGATCTGTCAAGGATAAATTGGGAAATAGCCTGTTAGAAATTGATGCTCCATAGATCTTGCTCCTGCAAAGTCAAACCATGTGCTTAAGTTGACACACTGTGAATAGTCCCATTAATTTCAGTGTTTAAGCAGTGTATAATTATCACTGTTTGTTCTAATTGCTTTCTTAGATATGACCCAAATACAGCCCACACAATCATAGGACTGGAAGGCACCCAAGAGGTCATCTAGTCCAGTCCCCTGCATTCATGGCAGAACTCAGTATTATCTAAACCATCCCTGATAGGTGTTCATTGAACCTGCTCTTAAAAATTTCCAATGATGGTGATTCCACAATCTTGTTAGACAATTTATTCCAGTGATTAACCACTCCCGGAGAAGGTTTTTTCTAATGTCCAAACTAAACCACACTTGCTGCTATTTAAGAAGCCTATTGCTTCTTGTTCTGTCCTCGGAAGTTGAAGAGAACAATTATTTTCCTCCTCCTTGTAACAATCTTTTATGTACTTGATAACTGTTATGTTCCCGCTTTAGTCTTCTTTCTCCAAACTAAACAAACTCCGTTTTTTTCTAGGTCATGTTTTCTAGTTCTTTAATAATTTTTATTGCTCTTCTGAGACCTTTTTCCAGTTTGTCCACATCTTTCCTGAAAGTGCCCAGAACTGGACACGGTACTCCAGCTGTGGCCTATGATTGACATAGAGTAGAGCTGTTAACTCATATTTAGCTTGTGATTCACTCACCTCACCAGATCCTTTCTGCTGTACTCCTTCTTTGACAGTCATTTCCCATTCTGTGTGCAACTGATTATTTCTTCCTAAGTAGTGTACTTTGCATTTGTCCTTATTAAATGTCAACTTGTTTATTTCATATTATTTCTCCAAACATATCCCCTGAAGAATGTTTTAAAGCCGTTAATTTTTGCTAAACTTGTCTGTAAGATGTTTAACCATAGATTTTTATAATTCCTAGTGTTATGTGCAATCTAAGCCAACTTCAAACTTCTAGTGTTTGGTTTGCCAATGCTTTATTTGTCTTTTTTATGCATATACTAATTATGATACTTTGTTAGATTAAACATCATGAAAAACTCAATAATGAGTATATAATCACTTCATATAAATTCTTCCTATCTGAAATATCTGCTGAGCTTATATTAAGATTACAGCATAGGCCTCTCTCCATATGGCAGCTACCTAATGTTATTGAAACCCAAATCAGTGTCCTAATGCAGGTGTGTCATGCCATAGGCACATCCTAACTTATACCAGACACAAATACAGCATCTTGCTGTCTGGTACAATCCGATTTATTGCTATATAAATAAATAGAATAATACTGAAGCTTTAGTTACTAAGTAGGTACTGTCATTAAAAACTAAAACTTGTTAAAGTAAAATTAAAATATCTAAAGTGTACTTTACAACTGATGGATTTGCTAACTCATATGGGATTTTTAATATAAAAGAAATTGTTCTTCCAACTGCAAACAATGAATGCTTTTCTCCAGTAAAGCAAACATTAAATGACAGGTAACAAACACACATAAGATGCAGTAGGGGATTGGTCTGTAAAAATTGGGAATGAAAAATAAAACTAAGGTGATATTCTTGAAGTATTAATCCTTTTTACCAAACACACACTAATGCTTTTATTAGCTTTATGTCTGTCTATATTAAAGGATCTGGAGAGTAGTCTGTGCTGTAAGGTCAGGGATACTGGGTCTGTATCATTATTTAAAAATCCAGTAATTAATATAGACTGGACGTGTTGCAATATATAACTGTTTCCATTTAGCTGTTAGATATAACTTGCCATAATAGTTGTCTCTTTAGACCTATTTATTAATTATACTGCATGTCTAGATCCCTTTAGAGAGAAAAAAAACTAAGCTTAGAGTTCTGTTTGACAACATTCTAGCTTCAGAAGAGTCTGTGTAGATGAAAGACATCTATCCCGTAAAATAAGTTGAGCACTTTTGGTAGAATTTATTGGACACATTCTTCACATAACCACTTGGAATATGTTTCCAGACTCTATTCATTTTTCTCATCCACACAGGAGATAAATAGATCTGTAGCTCCATGTCTTGTGATAGTTTATTTAGCTAGATATTGAGCTATGTGAATCAGCCAGATTTCTAATAAATGTTATGTAGATGCAAAGTTATAGGTAATGTGGAAAGCTGTGGACTGTGTGAGATCTAGCTCATTTTAAGTTCTGCCCTCCAGTAGCTGGCTTGATGATCTGCCAAGAATTTACCATATCAAAGACCAATATCATTTCTCGGCTTACATAAAGGTAAATATTTGTCAATAATTGTGTACTGAATCAATATTTTTATAGAACGTACACATGTTCCAAAACATGCCATTTTAAGATGTTCTGCAAGTAGCTTAATAACAGCATTTTTTTTTATAACTTGTCCTGATAGAAGTTACCCAATGCATTATTTTCACTGCCAGCTTTTTTGGTTGAATAGGCTTTTTTGTTAAAAGGAAAATAGATGGACTGCACACAGTGATTGCTTGGATTTGGATCATTGCGTAGCTTAACCGTCAGGCCTTTGAGGTTCATTAAACTCCAAGAACAGAGTTCTCTAATGTTTTCTCTTTGGAAAATGTGACAAATTTCCTGTTGCCAAAGAATATAATACATTTGTTTGAAAACCAAAGGGCATATCCTTATTTTACTGCATCAGAATAAATATATAGCCTTGGATTTCTCAAATGGCATAGGGCTTTCAACTAAACCTGGCTAATTTGGCAAGGACAGTGATACTGAAAATTAGATAAATACAGAGCAAACAAATCACAGCAGGTTAGGGCAGATATTTATTTTAAGCCCCCCTTCCCCACACGCGTGACTGAAGAAACCAACTGACTTGCAGATTAAAAAAAAAAAGTTCTGCATTATGTACATTGACTATGATAGAAGCGGCGAGGAATCCCGTGGCACCTTATAGACTAACTGAAGTGTTGGAGCATAAGCTTTTGTGGGCAAAGACCCACTTCGTCAGATGCATGTAGTGGAAATTTCCAGAGGCAGGTATAAATATGCAGGCCAGAATCAGGCTGGAGATGACGAGGTGGATCCAATCAGGGAGGATGAAGCCCACTTCTAGTAGCTGATCTGGAGGTGTGAATTCCAAGAGAGGAGAAGCTGCTTATGTAGTTAGCGAGCCATTCAGACTAACACGGCTACCCCTCTGATAATTGACTGATGATACTATTCTCAAAACTACAAATCTACCATCTGAAGTTGTAGTTAATTAAGCTGCTGGCAGACCATGATTTTTTGTGTGCGTGTGTGTGTGTATAAATATATAAAAAAATCTCCCCATGGATATTAAATGTTGGGTTAATTGTAATTAGGTTGTGAACATTTCATGTTGAATTCCTTATTCAAATATGTATTTGGCCTATTCCTGACATTTACTCCGAGTTTCCCCCTTTTTCTGTGTGTTGTTCTCTGAGTTTTTGTCTTTCAGTGTGTAGAGATGCTGTCAGTTTCCCCTCAAGTCAATAGCTAGGGATATGTGTCCTGACAAAAAAAAGTAAATTTTTCTTTTCTCTTGTTCTCTCTTCATCTCTCGATAACCACCCTTATGTTTGTTCTAAGGAGTGAAAGTGTTCCCAGGCCCACTTTTACATTGTCCAACATGATGCCTCAAAACTGGGGTTGATGTTTAGCCTTGCTTTTCAACATAAACTTCAAACCAGTATGATAATGGAATCACAAAGTGGTGTAAAGTGATTTTTTTTCTTTTGCAGCATGGTACAGTGTGATTTTCTTTTGGAAATCATGAAAAAAAAAACACCTGTATGTTAAGGATTCTTTACAGTGTCAGTAAAGGCGTTGTGCTTATCCCTCTCAACTCCATCCTCAGTTCTCTTTTCTAACTTATCACATAGGTAGCTCCTGTTCATTTTTAATGGATATTAGACATTATCTTAGCCACTGAGTAGGTAGGTCCATATGAACTAAAAAGCCAGATTTTTATTTGGTAAGCTAGTTTCACTGCAATCTTGAGGCATGAACCAGCATTGAGTCTCATGGAATTTACAGTTATATAAACATGAACACCTGTCCTTTTTTTTTTGCATACACTTTATGGATAACATTGTATACAGTTGTCTGATTTGAGGGTCTTATTCTGCTAAAATGACAGTGAGGCAGTAAGGCTGCAAAAGCCACAGAGCTGGCAATTCACATTAAAAAAAATTGTACCTTGCAGTTGTGGCTTAGTCTTGTGCAAATAACTCATAAACCTTCTTAAGTCTCTTCTAGCAAGCTTAAGCAATGGTTTACTAAATGAACGGAGCTTCTGGAACAACATTTTGCTAGTCAAATTAATAACCCTATCTAGGGGTGTGTCTAGACTACAGAGTTTTGTCGACAAAAGTGGACTTTTGTCGACAAAACTATACCTGCGTCTACACTACCTCTGAGTTCTGTCGACATAACGTCGACAGAACTCAGCAGTTTTGTCGACGCTGGTAAACCTCATTTTACGAGGCATAACGCCTTTCTGTCGACAGAAGGTGTTATTGCATGTAAACTGTCTTTTGCATCTACACTACCATGTCGACAAAGCAGCTTGCTTTGTCGACAGAACTGAATGTAGTGTAGACGCTCTTTGTCGACAGAATCTGTCAACAAAACTTCTGTCGA